CCCCCCCACCCCCGCCTCCTCCTTGGTCACAACTCTAGCAACTGAACAGGAGCCAGAGTGTTTCCTTGTGGCGAAGGGCAGGGATGAGACCTCTGTCTGGGGGATCTTGAGTGCCTTGTTCAGGCTGTCATTCCCATCCAGAGTTGGTGTGTTGGTAGCCAGCCAGGAGTCCTGAGGGCAGAGGGCATCTGAGGCACTAGTTGTATACTGAGTCTGCTACAGCTTGACCCCCTATGCTCTTTCTGCTAAGAGTATTTTAATGGGGATGATATACATCACAGAAGGGTAGGATTGGCGAGCAGGGTGGTGCCAGGGAGGCCCACTAGGAATTCCAGGCCAGGAGGTGCTCCAGGGGATGCCGGGCTCAGGTGGACCGACTTGGCCCTGTCTTCCCCATGTTTGCAGGATAAGACTAACATGATCCCCAGAGATGAAGTCTGTACTGGGTAAGCACAGAGAATCCGCTAACGCAGCCTGGGTGGGTGGGTGTCAGGGAAGGCTTCCTGGAGTATATAGCCGGAGCTAAGGCCAGGAGAGAGTTCCAGGCAGAGGAAGGGAGGTGAGCAGTCCAGTCTGGCTGGAATCGAGTCAAGGGAGAAGTGCATTGTGCAAGGCTCGTGACTGGTTGGATCATCTGGACTTTATCTGGGGGCCTGAGGGAGCCATGCATGAGTGGGCCTGTGGAGTTCTGAGTGTGAGGGGCGTGGCATTGGGAAGCCTGTGGTTTGTGGCTAGCACACAGCCATTCCACCTGGGTTAGTGCGTTTGTTAATTTAGACGGTCTTTGCATATGTTAGGTCACAGCAGCAGAGCCTCAGGCCCCACCTAGAGTCACAGAGCAGCTAGATTCCTAACCTGCCCAGCTTCTCAGGGAGTGAGGCTACTGGCATAAGTCCTGGGAAACTCCATGGCGAGCAGTGGACAGGCTGCTCCTGGACACAAAGCAGGGATCTGACCTTGGCCATCAGATGGTCAGACTCCTCTAGGGGTGGGTTCTGATTTGGTGGAGGAGAAAACAGAGACCAGAGAGGTGATTCAGAAGACCTTGGGCAAGGCTGTTTCCACCTCTTCCAGCCTCAGTTTCCTTATCTGTTAAGTGGAGATAATAAAGATATTCCCTCTCAGTGTTCTTTGAGGTGAAAGGCACATAGATGGCTCTTGTCCTAGTTCCTACCAGGCACAGAGGGGCTCAGGAAGTGGCCACTGCTATTTTTAGAGGCCACATAGCCTGACCAGGGCAAAGAACATCTGGGAAAGCAGATCTGGTGACTTCCTCTTTCTGCCATTTCCTCTTTGGTGGAAACAGTGACCAAGGTCTCTGCATTGGTCTGCCCAACCCACAGGCATGTCATCCAGAGGCTATCATGAAGGGGACTCCCCACCTCTGCACCCAAGGGCCCCAGGCTCTGTGTGGCCTGAACAGGCTGGCTGGGGTGGAGAGAAGTCATCCTTAGGGCCTGGTCACACCCCGCCCCTCTGGGCTGTGGCTGGAATGATGTATTGTTTCAGGGTGGCTATCTCCAACGCAGGCTCCCAGCCATGCTAGGGCCGTCCAGATGATCTGCTCTCTGGAACCTACTGGGGTCTGCCTTCAGTAAGGCCTAGGGACCTTGGTAGGCTGGCACGTCCAGTGGAAGCTTCTCTCAGCTGTGTTTCTGTTCATCACTTCCCTCCCACAAGCCTGTCCTGGAATACCGTCTCTGGATTCAATTTTGGCTGGCTCAGTGGCCCAGTGCTCTGTCCCGTTTCCCACTCACTCTTTAAGGGTGAACAAGGCCCTATGTGCTCTGTCTGTAGCTTGGAATGGCTGTGGATGGAAGACTTGGGGGTTCAAGCCTTGAGGATATGTATGTAATGACTGGGCCTTGGCCAAACTTGAGGGTTCTGGAACTAGGAGGGGTCTCCAAGCCCGTCCCAGTCGGAGCTCTTACCTGGACCCATTAACCATAGAAAGTATTAATATGTGTTGTAGAGGAGTGTGTTTGTGGGGGTAATCCAGGCCAAGATCTCATTTGACAGGTAAGGAAACTGAGGCCCATCATGGGAAGTGACTTTACCCTGAACCCTCTTCCTATAGTCTTTAAATGGCCCAGGAGGATGTTCCAGTGAAGACCAAGGGATTTATTTTATCTGGAGTTGGGGAGAGTGTTAGAAGCCTTCCACAAAACATGTCAGGCTTCTCCCAAGCATCCCCGCAGGCTTCTCTGCACCACATGGCAGTAGTGGCTTTTCTGCATGGCCTCTTAGTCAAGGTCCCTGCTCTCTGATTTTCCTGCCCCTGGCGCTGTGCTTTCATTTGAGGTGTGGAACTGCAGAGGTCTGCCATGGTATCCATGGCCCCTGGGGGTTCTGCTGCAGACTTCAAGGTTCTTAGGGGTCTTGAGCTTGCCAGGCTCAGGGCTCATGCATGTCCTATGCCTCCCTGCAGTGCCTGGTGATCTGGGCAACCAGCTGGAGGCAAAGCTGGACAAGCCAACGGTCGTGCATTACGTCTGCTCCAAGAAGACCGCCAGCTACTTCACACTCTGGCTGAACTTCGAACTGCTGCTGCCTGTCGCCATTGACTGCTGGATCGACAACATCAGGTTGGGGCTGGAGCAACAGATGGGGTGCCGCTTGCCTGTGGGGTCCAAAGAGGCCTCCAGAGCCCATTCCTTCTCATCCCCACCTCTAGAGGTCACTGACCTCTCTCCTTCCCCCACATCTTGGTCTGGTCTGGTCTGGTCAGCACCGCCTCTTCACTCTCTCTGGAAGAACTTTCTTCCCCTTCTTGCTGCTCTTGTCCCTCAGGCCCTACACACAGTTGCTATGTCCCAGCCCCTATTCAGAGGCTCAGCACAGCCCCCACCCCTTCCTGTGCCTGTGACTTGTGCTTCCGAGGACATGCCACATCTCCCTGTCTTTGCACATGCTGTTCTTTTGGCCTGGAATCTACTTCTACACCTTTGCCTGATCAATTTCTTCCCATTCTCCCTTTAAAACCTTGCCCTGGTCCCTTTGTGAAGGTGTCGCCTCTCTTTACCCCAAGCCACATGCTTGTTTCCTCTGTCATCACGTGCTAAACATTGTTTCCAAGGCTGTTTCCCAAAATCGAATACAGGCACTGTACACCGTACATGCTTTTTTTCACTTAGTCTTATAGCAGCCCTGTGAAACAGGTGCTGGTTTTCCCTGCTCAGGGGCCATGCTAATCTTCCCTGTATCATTCCAATTTTTAGTATATGTGCTGCCTAAGGGAGCACCAGGTGCTATTTTTCAACCTGTTTTCTAGATGAAGAAATCTGGAGCTCAAAGAGGTTACAGAATTGCTCATGGTCACTCAGCTGATAAGTGGCAGAACAAGGATTCGAACCCAGAATTGTGTGACGCTGAGCTGAGAGGTTCCTTCTCAGCTCCCTGAAGACAGGGACTGTATCTCTGTTTTATCTTTATTGCAGTAGAAATAGGAGCACAGTTGGCGCCCAATAAGTGTTTAAGCTGAATGGAGTCTCACAAATTAAACTTTTCTCCCAGAGACATGTCAGCTGGTTCCCCAGGCACCTTGCCCTTCATGTTGTTTACGATGCCTGCTTTGTTGACCCTTTCCTCCTCTGCATGTGATCGGGGTTATTTCTGGGCTGTTGGTCTGCGTTTCTATTTTTGTACTGGAGACATGGCCTCAGGTACTGCCAATTGGAGGTGCGGGCTGACACTGAGAGGGGTTTGTCTGCCTTCATTGGTTTTCTGACCTGTTTAATTTTTATCCAGCAGAGAACTGCTCTGGCTTTCCAGAATAATTTTCTGCACTTTGCTGGGTGGCCACTGGGATCATCCACAAATTGCCCTGGAGAGAATGGGCCTCCAGGACCTATTATTTGGATTGATATTGTCAGCTCTCTGTAGCTGATCTTTAAGGGAGGATGGGACTCAGGACCACCAGGAACTTCAGGTTCTTGTGTTTTCTTGGGTGCATTTGCCTCTTTGATGTGAGGCAAGGCCAGAGCAGGGTTCCTGGCCTGGCACAAGGCTTTTCTTCTGTGTCCTCCCACCTGTCCACATTATTTCTCCAGGTCCCTCTTCCCAAGGGAGGCGGTACAGCAGCCATGTCCTCAACCCTGGGGTGGGGTCTCTCTTGTCTGGTTTTGTTCTGTACTGCAGTTATGGAAAATAGGAGACATATTAATATGTGTGGCCTTAGAAGCTGCTAAGTCTGTGGTAGTTTGTTACACAGCAATAGAAAATGAATAAAGGGCTATAGATGGCCAGCCATGTGCTATGTCATGGCCTCAGGAACTTGCTGGCCAAGCCCCGGGTGTTGTAGTCCCAGCCTGGCAGGTGTTATGGCCGTGGGATACTGAGCAGGTCGTATGGGCCTGGTTGGTTCCCTTCCTTTGTGAATGCTGGGGTTGAGGGTTGGCTGGCTGCTGGGTCCAGTGCAGTTGTACCTCCCTGGGTCTGCCTTTCTCCTGCCTCTCCCCACCCACCTCCATCATTTCTTTGGGCCTTGCCCACCCTCCCATCCACCCTTCCACACAGCAGCTACTGGAGCTCAGGCCCTGAGGTGGGGTCCCTGTCTGGTTCTGTTGTGTGCTGTGCTCACCATCTCCTTTGTCCTGTGATACGCTGTGGTGAGTGGCAGGAGTAGGTCCGTGGAGATGGAGCGATGGGAACCCGAAATGGTAGGCTGCCTCTGGGGTTAGATGTGAAGTTCATGGCAGCGCCTTCTCCCAGCCAGGTCCAAGAACCTCATTCTGAGGTAAGTGACACTGCGGAGAAGGGAATGTTGCCTTGACAGGGGTCCTGGAAGGGGGTCTTCGTTTAGATGTGGTTATTCTGATCTGTGCTTTATAAACCTGCTGTGTTACTTTTTGGTCTTTTCTGCACATCTGACCCAACCTGGGGATGGGAAGGAAGTGTAGCTCAGGACACGATGCAGTATTGGGACACAGCAAGCTCAGTGTCACCTCTGGGTCACCGGCTCAATATCCCTTCCCAACAGGCTGGTTTACAACAAAACATCCAGAACCACCCAGTTTCCTGATGGCGTGGATGTGCGCGTCCCTGGCTTTGGGAAGACCTTCTCGTTGGAGTTCCTGGACCCCAGCAAAAGGAGTGTGGGTATGTAGCCCTTATTCAAGGCCTCTGGGGGATCGGGATGGGGGTTCTGCTGGACTGGAGTTGGAGCAACTCTGCTGGTTTGAAGGGATAGCCTGTGAACTGTCTCTGATCACGGTGGGCACAGAGCCCTGTCGTGTTCCTCCAGGGCCTCCCTGCATTAGATGTCACAGTGTCTGTGGGTGGTGTGGGTGGCTGGCACTAGCTATATCTTCTCTAATCCTATGCTTTTCTGTCTATAGGCTCCTATTTCCACACCATGGTGGAAAGCCTTGTAGATTGGGGCTATACCCGGGATGAGGACGTCCGAGGGGCCCCCTATGACTGGCGCCGAGCCCCAAGTAAGCAATCGCTCTCATTCCCTCCCTGAGGTCTCAGGAGGTGGGGACAAGATAGTCATAGCCACCACAGGCTTTGGGCTCTCCCCTGGCCCTGGACTCTCCCCTAAGCCCAGGCCTCTGGCATCCAACTCAGAGGAGCCTGAAAGGATAGGCTACCTCTGGGGCTCAGTGGTCACAGTCACCACCCTTGGTCAGTCTGTCCCATTCTTCCACATCCTTCACCCCGGGACCTCTGGGCCTCTGAGCTCTGGGGAGAGATCATAAGGCTGAGGGAGAGAAAAGGAGCCCCTTTGCTTCCTCCCTTCATGGAAGCTGTGGAAAAACCAGATACTCCCATTTACATGTTAGCAGCCTCCCTACCCCACCTAGGTAGATCCCTAGTCCTGGGTCTGGCCTGCGAAACAGTCAGTGGTTCAGGCCCTAGGACCCTTCCCACCTGACCCCTTTCTGGCTCTGGCCTGCAGATGAAAATGGGCCCTACTTCCTGGCCCTCCGCGAGATGATCGAGGAGATGTACCAGCTCTATGGGGGCCCCGTGGTGCTGGTTGCCCACAGCATGGGCAACATGTACACACTCTACTTTCTGCAGCGGCAGCCGCAGGCCTGGAAAGACAAGTACATCCATGCCTTTGTGGCCCTGGGCGCGCCCTGGGGGGGCGTGGCCAAGACCCTGCGTGTCTTGGCCTCAGGTAAGATGCTACCTGGCCCAGAGTGGGGCGCTGGTACCAGGAATGCCACCTCTCTTTGCTTCCACAATGTCCTCCCAGGCCAGAACCCTTCATGTGTCTTCTCCTGGGTCAACACTCTTCTGTCTCCAGAGTGGCATTCTTTTTCAAATATCTTTTTTTCCAAAACAGAATCTGACACTACTCCTAATTTCACCTCTCTAGGTGATAGCCCTTGTCATCCGTGTAAGTTTCTTACAGCATGTATATGGAGTAGCATAACTGTTGATCACGTAGATGTTTGCTTATGCACATGTGCGCGCACATATACACATACACGCACAGTGCACAGGCCCGGCTCGTCTAACTTGGGTTGATCCAAAGAACTTCTCCCTCCCTTTAACAGTTGCACCTCCATCTGTGGGCAACGCAGGGAGGAAACAGGTGCAGATCTGGCTGGGCCTGCTTGCCTTGCGGTTGGGAAAGCCACCCCCATTCTGGTTCCTCCCCAACCCACTTGCCTTTTCATGAGCATCAAAACCTGCCAGCTGTAGCTGTAGGGTAGAGCTTCCTGCTCTAGGTCTGGCTAGGAGACTCATGGCCCCTCACTTTGGGAGCTGTGAGCCACGGCTGTGCCAAGCCTCTTGTGAGCTTTCTTCTTCAAGTCACCAGCACTGCCTGACCTGCTTGGTCAACTGGCATTGTGATCGGGTCAGGCCCAGCGCCTCTCCCAGTAGTGATCCTGAATTGGCTGAGCCCATGGCTCAGACATTCAGATAGAGTGAAGACTCATCACAGCCACCTACTCTGTCCAGCCTGGACCCGGAGGGACAGACATGGGTACACACTGAGTTTGGCCAAGGAACCTTGGTGGCTTTTGGGCCCTGGCGCCTTGCACAGTTCCCTGTGAGTCCCCTTAGAGCTTTGCCTCCGATGTTGGGAAACTGTCCCATCAGGCCCTGGCAGTCCAGGAGTGGGGGTGTGGAATGGGGAGGTAGAAGTCCATGGAACCCTAGGGGCTTCCCTTTCCTCAGAGGTCCTAGAGCCAGGCCCCAGCAGGCAGAGCTGAGGCCCTATGGTCAGTCAGAGATGCCTCCCTGCTTTCAGGCTGGGGTGATGGGTGACCATGGGGCCTGAACCGGCCAGAGGCCCCTGTTCTCAAGTTGCAGCTCATCCCCTGGCAGTCTCACTGGCTGGCAGGTGTGTTTGTGTTGTTCGCATGCCTGTGTGTCAAGGACTCTGACTCCATCTGCAGCCTCCCTCCTGCCCTGTTCCCAGCAGGCCTGGCTACCCAGGTCAGTGCACAGGCAGGTGAGTGGGATGAGACCAGAGCTGGCTGAATGCTGCTGTGAGCTTAGGAAAAGAAAAACAGGTACACAGTTTGGTGTAATCAAAGAGAAACAGGAACGTGTGTGTGGGCTACCAACCTGCTGATTCACCTTAGACGAGGTCAGTGCACACAGGCCTGGTGATAAGTACTTGGAGGAGGCTACTCTTTACAGATGAGGAAACATAAATCACCCTGAGGGTATGTGCTGCCTAAACCCAGCATGAGGAAATGCAAAAGAAACAAAACAAGTCTTGGCTGTGTGTTTCCCAGATACAGCAAAAATAAAGGGAAACAGTAAAAGCCAATGCAGGGATGGGAGTTATAATGATAACAATGTCGACATGCAGGAATGTTGACTGGGCCACTGGCTGGGGTCTGGTGGAGGCCTAGCCAGCTTGCATTCATAGGCACAGACTGACTAAAGCCCTCTCCCTGCAGGTGACAACAATCGGATCCCAGTCATTGGGCCCCTGAAGATCCGGGAGCAGCAGCGGACTGCCGTGTCCACCAGTTGGCTGTTGCCCTACAACTATACCTGGTCACCTGAGAAGGTGTTCGTGCACACACCCACGGTCAACTACACACTCCTCGACTATCGCAGGTTCTTCCAGGACATTGGCTTTGAGGATGGCTGGCTCATGCGGCAGGACACAGAGGGGCTGGTTGAAGCCATGGTGCCACCTGGTGTGCGTCTGCACTGCCTCTATGGCACTGGTGTCCCTACACCAGACTCCTTCTACTATGAGAGCTTCCCCGACCGTGACCCTAAAATCTGCTTCGGGGATGGCGATGGCACCGTGAACTTGCAGAGTGCCCTGCAGTGCCGGGCCTGGCACAGCCGCCAGGAACAACAGGTGTCATTGCAGGAGCTGCCAGGTAGTGAGCACATTGAGATGCTGGCCAACGCCACTACCCTGGCCTATCTGAAACACGTGCTTCTTGGGCCCTGATTCCTGTGCCAGGCAGGGCTACTGGATGGCGTGGCCACAGGGCTTCTTTTGGCCTCTGGATCTGTGGTGGCCCACCAAGTTTAGCAAAGTTTGTGACCAATCATTCAAGGCCCTGGGTCTTGGGCTGGAAAGTATCTAGCACAGGGAAGTGCTATTTCTTATCCTCCTTCTGTGGCAGTGAAGAAGAAAGAAATGAGAGTCTGGACTTAAGGGACCCTTGACAGAAAGACTACTGCTGATGGTGGGATTGTTGTGACCTCAGGACTGGCTCTGCAGGGTGGATTGGCTGGCCTCTGGCCCTAATCCCTGGCCTGGGCCATGCATTCCTCCTACTCCTATGGCCTTTTCACACAAGCCCACTGGGCCCTGGCTCCTCAGCCTTCCTGTGAGGGATGTTACTGGGCTGTGGTCCTGTCCCCAAGAGTCCCAGGGATGGGCTTCTGGCCCCTTGGGTGACCCTTTCCATATGCCACAGGTAGGCCTGCCACTGGCCATGGGTGGCTGGAGCTGCTGGCTTCCTTGTGGCTTCCTGGGGGCAGCCAAATGTCCCCTGCAGGCAGAGGCAGTTTGTTGTGTTCTTTATGGTTCCCAGTCCCTGGGACATTCACTCTACTCCTATCTCCCTCACCTCCAAGAACAGCCTAGCTCTGGACTGGGCAGCAGATGGGCCCCAGTTCCAGAGGCCGTGTCCTGGAAGCCCTGATCTTCTCAGTTGTACTGTTGGCCCCAGTATTAAAGCTGGCTCTCTTCAACCTGGGACTGTGGTTCAAGGATGAGGGCAGGGGCCAGTGCCATGGCCTTCTAAGTACCCATGAAGAAAGGGAACTCAAGGAAGCAGCCAAGGCTGTTCATCATCACCCCGAGCCATTCTCTTGCTAACCCCACTACCACACTGCCACTCTGCCCCTGGGGTCTGTCTAGTGTCCAAGTGGCCTGGCACAGGGCTGAGAGGTGGTAGGGCTCCCACCCACACTGCCCAGCACCTGATCCCACCAGGCAACTGAGTGGGCCCCTGAGGGAGCCAGGTGACTTGAGGCCCCCCTAGGGGTTTTCTGTCTCCCCTGGGGTACTGTCTGGATCTTCCTGTGATAGCAGGAAGAATCTGGGCCTGCCTTGGTGGCAATGAGCTTCAAGTGGATGACTGCCTATAGGCCAAGATTTGGGTCCAGCCTCTGAGTTGGGGTCCCAAAGCCACATTCAGGCTGAACTGATTTGATTTCCCACAAGGTTTCTGTGGAGCTGGATTTTCTCTGTTTCGTTCATGCCCGGCATCTGTCTTCTCCCTTTGTTCCTGAATGGTGGGCCCTGCAGGAGCTCTGAGCAGGCTGTACCTCGATTCTGGCAATAAAAGTATTCTGGATGCTGTAAGGGGCTCTGGCCTAGGCTATGCTCTGAGCACAAGAGGAGGGAGGTAGTGGAGGTGCGAGGGGGCTAGAGAGGCAGGTAACCAGGACTGGACCTTTACTGGGGCCTTGATGGGTTCTCTTAGCACGAAAGCATGGTTCCTGTGCCCTTCTTTGGGCTTCATCCTGCTGCTCTCTCTCCTGGAAACCAGTTCCCCACCTGGGACTAAGAACCAGAACCTGAAACCTTCCTGTTACAATGGGGCCCCTGCCTTCCCCTTGCTCCTGCTTGGTCAGCAGGCCCCACATGCCCCTTGTGCTTAGGGACAAGGACAGTCCTGCAAGTCACCCTGGCTAGACTCTCCTTCCCAGCCTGTGTCCTCCCTTAGCTTACAGGTCTCAGTATCCTTTGAACGTAGAGTTCTCTTTAGAATGCTACCCTTGTCCTTTGCTTTCCCAGCTCATCTGCCTCCCATCTGTCCCTCTATAGGGACAGAGACCGAGGGAGGAAGAAAGACTAGGCGGAGACTGGTATGGAGAGAGAACAAAGTGGGCAGAGACAGGGACTGAGACACTAGGGAGCTAATGGAGATGGACAAAACAGAAAAAGAGGGAGACAGAGACAGGGAAACATGGACCGGGATGAGTCTTGTGGTCCAGAGGCTGGGGCTAGTGCAGGTAGTAGGAGCGCCAGTTCCTATCTTTTCCACTGAGCCCCACCCACCTGGTCCCCAGGCTTTGATACACCGAAGACCACTAGAGGGCGCTCTGAACCCTCTCACCACACCAGCTCTTAGCCAAACCTGGAAGGAAGGGGAAGCCCAGAGAGGGGCTGAGAATGCCTGTGAATACACAGGTCCACCCGCAGCTCTGGCCTAAGTAACAGGATGACAACATGAAGAGGAGCCTAACATGCAAATCTGCCCAGCCTGACTCCCAGCTCAGCCCTGATACCCACCAACCCCTAGCACCATTTGTTGTGGCCTCAGAGCTACTCACTCCCCCCTGACCTGTTTCAGCCCAACTGCCCCCCTTGGCTTCACAGCTGCACAGAGAAGACATGGAGTCAGAGCAGGCTTCAGGACCAGCAGACCTGGGTGCAAATCCCAGCTCTACCAGCTCCTGCCAAGTAGCCTTGGGAGCCTCCTGACCTCCCTGAAGCTTAGTTTCCTAATCTGAAGAATGGGGACAATTGTCAGGGGTGATCTTGAGGAGCATTGATGTTGGAGGACATCTGATTCAGTGCCGGGTGCGCAGTGGGCTTTTTCAGCTGATGTGCCATTAATATAACTGGGTGTGAGACAGCAAAGACAGAGGTCTGGGAGCCAGCAGATCTTGCATGCAGCCATTGCAAGGACAAGTGGACTGGCGGCTACTGAGTGACACAAGTGTCCAGAGCTGTCGCTCTGCCCAGCCAGGAAGGCCAGAGGAACTGATCTAGGAGGCAAAGGGTCAAACTGCACTGATGCAAGTATTAATGTATACACACACTCACTCACACTTAGGAAAAGTGTTCCAAGCAGAGGGCACAAAGAGGGTGGCGCTAGTGAGTGCTCCTCAAGGCTGTCATTTCAGGCCTATAGGGAAGAGGATGGAAGGGTTTTTAGGCAGGAGAAATACAAAGTCATTCTAGTCTGTCTTTTAGGAGCATCCTCTGTGGGGATGGGTTAGAGCGAGTGGGATAGGGATTGGGAGGCTGTTGTGGCTGGGGAGAAGCAAACCATGGGATGCAGGCCCTGCGGGGAGGGAGGAGGAAGGGTCTGGGGTGCTGTACATCTCTGGCTGGGTCACTGGGTGTGGGGAGCAGAGGTTTGCGTGTGGTCTGGAACTAGAGGATGTGCAGCGTGGACGCACAGCTGGGAGAAAAGACTCCATGTGCCAGGAGAGTCAGTGCTTGAGGTGTGTACAGGATGCTAAGGTGGAAGGCTCAGGAGCCCATGAGGTCAGGAAGCCCCAGACAGAGTCCCAGAGCTACCAGAGGAAAGGGAGCCCCAGGGGGAGGTGGAGAAGGAGCATGCAGAAAAAGGCCAAGGGGACAGAAGGGTGCAGCTCCCCCAGGAGGGGTGTCAGCAGGGTCAGGCAAGATAAGGACAGAGCCCCAGGGAGGCCTGGGGTTGGCTAAGGAAGCCCGGCTGTGTCTGTGCGGGCCTCAGTGGCTGTGAGTCTGAGCTGTGCGTGTGGGAGGACAAGTCCTGGGTGTGTGTGTCTTCCTGGGGTCCCTAGGCAGAGGGTCAGCAGTGACCTGGGTGTGGAGGTTGTCTGGAGCTCCTTGTGTGAGCTGTGGGGGCGCCCTGGGCGTGGGGCCCAGGCCAGAGGCCAAATATCAATGGAGCGTGGGAGCTGTTTAGCGCTCCCCGCGGGAACGTCCATTGTGGAGGCCCTCGGAGGCCTCCTGTGACTCCAGGGTGTCGAGGATGGCTGGGCCCCCTGGCGGGCCCAGCGAGGCCGACTGGGGGCTGCCCCACAACTACACGCAGAGGCTGGGCCCTCGGGCCGGGATCTCGGAGGCTGCGGCATTCCCGGGGGCCGGAAGCGGCGCCGCCAGCGGACCCTCGCGGAGTCCTGTCCCGACGCTGCACGCGCTGTCGCGATCCGGCGGCGGGTGACGTGGCGGGGCGGGGCCTGAGTGGCCGCGGCGGCCGTGGAGGCAGCGCGACGGAGCATCCTGGCGCCGCCACCGGAGGTAACGGGCCTAGCCGGGCCAGGCGGGGGACGGGCGCGCCGGGGAGCGGACCCAGAGCGGGGGCCGCGTCCTGTCGGCAGGCACTCTGCGTCGCCGCCGCCGCCGTGGGCGGGATGCGGGCCGGAAACGGCGCCGGGCGGCGGGCCGGGGGCCGCGTGAGAGACGCTGCGGGCGAGGGGGTGACGCTGTGAGCGTGAGAGGGACCTGGAGCTAGAGGGTGACTCCAGGAGTGTGGGAGACCCTGAGTACAAGACGAGTGTGTGAGAAAGACGGTGTGCGTGAGAGAGACCTGAGTGTGGTGGTGACTTTGTGAGCTTGTGAGACCCGGAGGGTGAGAGGGAGACTGTGTGTGTGTGTGAGACAGAGAGAGAGAGAGAGAGAGAGAGAGAGAGAGACCCTAGGTGTGAGGGTGACTGCGTGTGAGACCCCGAGTGTGAGGGTGACTCCATGACTGTGAGAGACTGTGCAAGTGGCCCTGAGACTGACTGAGGGGCTCGCAGTGTGCGGCCGCGAGCACAGGAGGGAGGACCGGGCAGGAAGGAGGCCGTGCGGTGTGCGGGAGTCGCGCCAGGGCGCGGGGCCGGGCTTCGTGGGCTGCTGCAGGCGTCCGTGTGGTGGAGGGCTGTTGGGCTGGGGCCCGCCCTGCCTCTGTTACGGCTCTTTTGAGTGTCTCCAGGGTCCTGTCTTCTTGGTCTTGCAACCATCTCCTGTCATCAATGCCAGGAGAGATGTGTGAAACATTCTGAAAATTCTTTGCTGAGCACTAAGCAAACATGTTGTGTAATGGCCCGTATAAATAGGAATCAGCGTTTAATTTAACGTGGTTTTGAGTACCTCTCATGTGCACCGGGCTGTGTGCTTGGTGACACGGTTAAAAAGAATTCGGTCTCTGCCCTTGATGTGGGGGGGAAACCAGAGCCAGCTCATCTAGTATGACCCGCCATCTGGTGCCTTATCTCTGAGAGCTGCGCCCTAATTTCAGATTTTAGAGGAACGGACTTGAAAGCCTCCACCTCTTTTTGCTGGCTGTGAGCCCTTTAGGAAAGTGCCCAGGCTGCCCCACATTACTAAGGTCCCATGTGGTGGTGCCCTGATGGCTTTTGCCTCCCAACTTTGGTCTCAGACTGTCATTCAAGTTGTTCTGTTAGAATTTCCTTTCCTGGCAGACGCGTGGAAAACCACCAGACTGATTTTCTCCCCTCGTCCTTGCCTCGCCCTCCTTCCCTGTCTGGCTGTGACACATTTTTATTGCAAACCAAACATGTACACCGGTTATGTGACTGATCTCCTTGGAACTTCTTGGTAGAGGAAATTTACTGACCTCTGTCCTTCCTGCTGTAGTCTTTAGGATGCAGATCTGTTTTATAGAAGTTATGCAAACGGTGGTCACGGGACCTGGGACTGGGGACTCAGGGACTCAGGGACTCAGAGTTGCCCAAACATGCATGATTTGAGATGACAAGTTTAGTTCTCTGACAGGTTTGGGCTGGTTGCTTCAGTTAACCTCCCCTCTGGGTGTGATAGAACTTCTTATTCATTAGGGCTGGCCCTGCCGGGCATGGAAAAGTTGGGTTTTTCAAAGGGACCCTGCTGCTTGCTCAGTCCATTTTTTGATCAGTTATCTCTCACTCTCTGTTGCAGAGATTACATGGCCAAGACACGAAAGTGGAATTAGGCCTTGCTGCCGAGACTTCATCATCTTAGTACCTGACCCATTTATGATGAGGTGGCTTGTGAAAGTGTGATGTTCGCTTATTTCTTGGCAGGTGAATATTGTTTCTGTTAGCTTTCTTTCATCATTGTGATTTATAAAGAGTTTTTGTTGTGTGTATGCAATCTGTATACAATACCACTAAAGAGAATGGCTCACACATAATTCACTGTTTTTTAGTATTACATGGTATGTAATTATAAAACCAAATTATGTATTTATATTACTTCGCTTTCTAAACAGTAACCATGGCGGTTTGTAGTTAAAGATTCTTGAAATGAGGTTGTTAAATAAAAAACCAAAGCCATGGAAAAGACTAGGTAGCAAATACTGTTGAAGTGAGAACATCTTATCTACTGTGATTGGGAGCTGAATTCAATCTGGAATTTCCTGGTATCCTAGGTTGAAAAACAAAGGGCCACATAATTTTTGTTATTTGATAAAAAGAATATATTTTTTAAGTTGAAGCATTGAAAAAATGCATACTCATTGTGAAAAATATAAAACTCAGACGCATAAATAAGTCCTTTATGTTTTCACCACAGTTAAGATTTTGGTATATTTCTCTGTGATATTGTGAAATATGTATTTGGTTTTCCGCTCCCTTTCCTGGCATTCAAATCCTAAAATCCTCAGTATCTCTGTCTTTTTGTATGCTAATCAGTTGACTTCTGGTGGGCTGCCCCTAGGTAGCTTCAGGATGGGGGGTGGTCACTGGAAAGACTAGAGCTGGATGAGAGGGTGGGAACTTTTAACCCCACCCCCCAACCTCCAGGGGAAGGAGGGGGGGCTGAGGGTTAAGTTGATCACCAATGGCCAGTGGCTTAATCAATCATGCCTATGTAATGAAGCCTCCTTAAAAACTCAAACGGACAGGGTTTGGAGAGCTTCCGGGTAGCTGAACACGTGGAGGTTCCCAGAGGGAGATTTGCCCAGGGAGTGCCTGGAAGCTCCAAGGACCCTTCCTCCTTACCTCCCTCAGTGCTCTTCATCTGTATCCTTTGTAATATCCTTAATAATAAACCAGCAAATGTAAGTAAGTGTTTCCTTGAGTTTTGTGAGCTGCTCTAGCAAATTAATCGAACCCAGGGAGGGGGGTCATGGGAACCCCAGATTGAAGTGGGTCGAAGTTCTGGAGGCCTGGACTTGTGACTGGTGTCTGAAGTGGGGTTGGGGGGCAGTCTTGGGGACTGAGCCCTCAACCTGTGGCATCTGACGCTATCTCCAGGTAGGTAGTGTTGGAATTGAACTGGATGACTCCAGCTGGTATCTATTGCAGAACTGATTGCTTGCTTGTTGTTGGGGAAAAACCTCCACACAATTGATCATAGTCTTCTGTGTTGATTGTTGTGGTGGTGTGAGAGCAGAGGAAGAATGGTTTGAGTTTTTTCCAAACAGTCTCAATAGCATTTTTTTCCATAGTCTTTATCAAAGAGGTTCTAAATCCAATTTGTAAAACTTTCTTTGTAATTGAACTTTGATAAATTCTGTGAACTAAAATAAAATCTTAAGGCTCCCCGCTACCAGGTGACTGAATGGACCCCCTCTTGGCCAGGGGGATATCCTAAAACTAAATTGCCTGCCACGAGGAGGGAGGTCAGACATACCTCATCATGTCCCCTGCCCTTCTTGGAGACATCCTTTGTAACCCATTATCAAGGCCTAAGGGTATGCAAGACAAACCTGCAGGTGCTCAATTTACACAACAAATATATGTCCAGTGGCTTGTCTCTGATTAACAGACCTCTTTATCTGAAAACATTCCAAGCCTTTAGACAAAGCTTCATGTATTTAACCAATTACAAGTCATAGAATCTTTAAACCCACCTATAACCTGTAAGCACCCCCTCCCCCACTTCGAGTTGGCCCACCTTTTCAGGCCAAACCAATGTATGCCTTCGATGTATTTTTTTTTTTTATTTCAGCATATTATGGGGGTACAGATGTTTAGGTTATGTATGTTGCCCTTGCCCGCCCCCCCCAACTTTGATGTATTGATTTATGACTTTATCTGTAACTCCTGTCTCCCTGAAATGTATAAAACCAAACTGTAACCCAGCTACAGTGAGTCCACTTGCTCAAGGATTCTTGGGCGTGGCTCTGTGTCATGGTCCTCAAATTTGGCTAAGAATAAATCTCTTTAAAATTATTTTACAGAGTTTGGCTTCTTTTCCATTGACAATTCATTTTTTTTTTTTTCCTAAAAATTGCATATGACAGTTTCATGGTTAAATTTTCATGAGGAAATTTTAGTGGTCTGTTAAATTCCTTTACTATCTGCTGCAGGAGCCTGGAAAATAGGTTGGAAACCTGTTAGAAAACTGCATTGTGTCTTTAAAGGGAGGGCTTAACATTGTTTTTTTTAGAGACAGGACCTGATAGGGTACATTGAATCGTTTAATAGAAATTTCCAACAGTGATTTCAGAGATTTCAGTGTTAGAGAAAGAGAGTCTGAGAGACTGATATTGTGTGTTATCTTCACATGCCATTTTCTCTTATCAATTGAATAAAAATTGCAGGCAAAAGGATAGCCAACTCGGGAGGGTGATCTGGTAGAATTTTGATGACCCTCTTGTAATACCAGGCTACTCAGCTGGAGGTAGTGTCTTAATTATTGGCCCCTTGAATCAACGATTTTCATCCCATCGTTGCAGAGGGTCTACAGATCTACTCTGTGGGGACAGGATAGACAAACACCTCTCACACAGGTATGGACTGCTTTTTTTGATAATGTATATAGATATTGTGACTAATTAAAATACAAATTAATTCATAAACCATTACTGTAGTCATAGTAGCCTAAGGTCATTATTTTTTCTTCTCATCGACTATAACTGAAGAAGAAGTACTGTGACAGAAAATAATCTCATGTTAACACATGAACTGTCATGTGAGTTGTATTTAACTCAGGCTAGTTTTGAGCCCGGGGCCTGGTGAAGCATGTTAACTCACACATCTCTTTACCTTGAGCCATGTGAAACTATTTTTTTTAAGTTGAAAGTAACTCACACACAGAAAACAATAAAAAATAACAAATTTTTCATTAAATTAGAAAGGATCGTTTTGTTTTCGAAGTTTTTATTCTATTTTTGTGATAAAACACTAGCCCCAAGGAAAAATTTTTTTTTCTAGTGTGCCAGTCAATGTGTTAGTATAGCTACTCCTGTTGTCTTTTGATTAGTGTTTACATGGTACTTTCCCCTCCTCTTCTTTGTAACTTATTTATGTCTTTAGGGTGGGTTTCTTATAGACTACATATCGAGCTTTGCTTTTTTTATCTGATCTGAC